GGGGGGGGGGGGGTTCTCCCTATATATATATATATAGTAGTATCAACCGGGTCCTAATTATCTGCAAGATCAAGAATTCGAACTATAAATATCACCTTTATGAATCGAATTGTTTTAAAATTTAAATAAAATTAATAAAACAAATTGTTTACTTGTAAATTATTAATTTCTAATTACCGATATTTTTTTTTTGTTTAACTGTTTTCTTTTTTAGTCTGTTTCACTGTTTTTTAATTTTTTTTTAATTCTGTTCGCTGTGACATTTGAAACCAGAATTTTTCCATCGGTCAGCTATCGGTACGTAAATTTCCTCTGCGACGGGATGAGTAAGGTTTGATTTGGTAGAAGTTTTCACCATGGAAATGTTAAAGCTCGCTTGAAATATAAATTTATTTTTTTTAGAGTTCAAACAAAAAAAGTTGTAAATTTTAGCAAAAATATTAAGCAAAAATTTGTGATCTTAAAAGGGACTGTGTCCCTTTATTTATAAAATGTAGGGGGCTTAAGCCCTCTCTTCCCCCCCCCTCCTGGTTCCACGGTCCCTGATAGAAGGTGGCAGATATGATGAAAAATTCTATTAGAAATGGCTCAAATTCTCAGAATTAAGCATCTAAGTTTAAAAAACTTTTAAAAATGCATTTGCAGTATTTATATTGCAATATTTTCACACTCGTCTTAAAATTTTACAATTTCATTAACGCACTAAATGTCTTCCTTCAGTTTTTTGGCCTGCTTTCAAAGAAGTTTATTCATTACAACCTTAGAGTTCTCAAAATTTTTCACAAGATTTAAATTTTGAGCAGTTAAATTTAATGAAAAAAACTCCTGTCTGCTCAGAATTGACTGACCGTATCATGCAATTTAACACGGCAATTTATTTATTTATTTATTTTTTTAAATGTCAAAAAGCACCTACTTCATCGAGGAGAAAATTGGCCAAAGGAGTGCCTAGCGTGCCAGAAAAGATTTTAATGATTTTGATTTTAATTTTTTAATTTTTTCAGAATATTAACTTAAAATTTTTAAGTGATAAGTAGTTGTAAGTCGTATAAGTGAAAAAAGTTTGAATTAACGTTCTTAAGGGATAAGGAACATTTTCACATTTCAAATTGCTTTTTTTTCAACCTCAAAAACAACGTTTTTCCAACCCACAAAGTCTATAGCTTCAAAAATTCTCAACTGATTTGATTAAATATTTAACAGTATTACTGTTACTGGAGAAGTTTTCGTTGTACATTGGATTTTTAATGTTGTTATTGCTTTTGTTAATAAAAAGATGGGGACATTTTGACGTATCATTAAAAAACAGAGTTTAATAGTTAATTAATAGAATTTTAATAAAATAAAAAAATTCTAAGAGCAACGAAAGCTACAAATATTTAGTTAAATCAGGGAAACAAATTGAAAAATTTATTGTTTGTGCTCTAGGAAAAACATTACATTAAGGGAATATTATTTAAATTTTAATAGTTTATTTGCTCCGTATGTGAGTCAACGCAAAATGCATGATATCTTTTTCATTTAAGTAAGTATAAACGTATGATTTTAGGAGGTTTTTGAACTTTCATATTGTCGATTAATGTAAAAATCAATAAAGTAGTATCATGTAGAAATTAATAAAGTAATATTTAAGTATGTAGATTAAGAGTTCTCTATCTCCTCTCCATGAAATGAATTCTGGTGCATATTTCCACAAAATACCCTTTGATTTGCAATCGCATGTTCAAAATGCATTATATTGCAAATTACTTTAAAACACTATTCTTGAATTATTATTTTTCAATATCAAATCATTTTTTGTGTTTATTGGGTAAAACAAAATATTTGAAGTTACCGCAGACTATATAATCCAGTGGTAATGATACAAATCAAAAATTTCTTATATATATATATATATATATATATATGTGTGTGTGTGTGTGTATGTTTGTGCTTTTTTTTCAATAACTTACTTATAGTTGCGTGAAAAGATTTTTTTCATTCATTCTAATTTATAAAAATAATGATATTTTACCACCAGGCAAAAATTACTTTCTAAGACTTCGGAATTTCCGTCATAAATTCGGGATACTCGTATGTTAAATCTCAGGAAAGATATTTAAAAATTTAAATTTCATTGAATTTCACATATTAAATTATTTGGTAAAATAAAAGTTTACTCCTTATCTATATGAACCTTTCCGCATTGAGAGCTACGACATCTTAGTTTAACTTATAAATGTCACGAAAATGCTTGTGTTAGGTGCCCCGTACTTTTTCTTCATTTAGCCTAAGTATAAATATATTATAACTTAATTTTAAATCTTCTACGAGCATCTCTAATTGCGTATTCCAAACGCTTATATTTTTGTTACTGCATTATACGTTAAATATAATGCTTGAGACAAACTTATTAAATATTAACATCAAATATTTATCTCATATACCAGTTAAAAGCACTACAGTTTATTCCGTGTTAAGAGCTACCAAGCCATTAATTGTTAATCTTATATGTTTCATCAAGAAGTAAGCCAAGTGCGCAGCTGCGAAAGAGCATAAATTTGTTAAATAAAATGTAGTTTAAAAAGGCGGTGGTATCTTTTATACAATAAATCTATATGTTTTAGCTTACACTCGAGTCCCATGACTGAAAATGTTATCAGGATGGTGGTTTGTTTCGATGTTAACTTCCCATCTTTTGGTGCAGGCTTAAACCCCATTATGGGCCTTAACTTTTCACCTCTGAAGTAATAATTCTGTCAGGTTGCAAACGATGAAGTAGGCACTTCATTTTCGAAATTTAGGAAAGGAGAAAAAAAAATGTTCCAAGTAAATGTTGTGAAAGTCTTATCTTAAGAAGATTTAATATTTTTCTTTTTAAAAAAATATCGATTTCCAACTTTAGTTCGATAGAATAGGTACTAGCAGATAAAAATTCGGAATACAAATGGAATCAGATTTTTAAGGAATACAATAATTTCAACACAAATCGCAAAACAAATTGATTATTAAAATAAATAGTTATTATAACTTTTAAAAATGCTATACTTCGTTATTAAAACAATAGAAAACCAAAAAAGTGTTACCAAAAAATTTTTTTTTCAAAATTTTATTAAAAATACTTAAATTTAGGTTTTATTCCTCAGTATTTTTGAAAAGTGTAAACAGTTGTACTAAGATATTTTTTACATTTTATTACAATTTTATAAGTTTCAAGAAAAATTTGTTTTGATTCATTCTATATCTGGGCTCAGTGCGTTTTTTATTGTGTAAAACACAATGGTGTGTTCTTATAATGTTCCTAACAACTCTCATCGTGAATCTTAACCCTAATTTTTGTGCGTACTTTCTTTTAAAATTAGCGTTTATGGTACGGATTTACTGATATACGTTTATTAGTTATTTTTTTATTCTAATTATGCTTCTAATTTAATAGCTAATATTTCAGTGTATGGCAACCATTTTTATCAAAATATCCTTCTTTGTTTTGAAGTAAAATTTCAGCGATTATATATTAACTTAAAGTTAATATTGTAGAGTATAGTAAAAAAATAAATTTTTATTTGTAATTACTTTTTGTTCAGATAAAATTTTTCTTTAAAATTAAACCGAACATTTATTTTCGAAACAAGACTGAATTTTTAGAGTGATTAAAATACACCTTTAAATATTTGTCATTAATATACTTTTATTCATGAAATTTTTTCAACTCTAGTACTTAGTTGATCTGAAATTACGAATATAAACGCATCATACATTTTTTTCTAGCACTTTTTGTAATCGTTTTTCATTGTAAAAATACTTAAATTTTCCAAAGTAAAAAAATTTATATCAAATTTTTTATTTGAAAGGTTTATTGAATATATTCTAATATAAATGCATTGTACATGTCTTGTTCCATAGTTGCTTTTCATATAGAAAAGGGAGCGTCAGCAATCGATAAAAGTATAATAATTGTATATAATTAATCATCAATAAAAAGAAGCATATAATCGTCAATAAGAAATTATCAAAATATGACAAATATATAAAAACGTTATCAAAATATGATAAATATTCATCTATAAAAAGCAATCTTCAATAGTTATTGAATCATCTATAAAAACTATTTACAAGATCACCCTTGATGTAAATTTTTAGAAACCTTATAAAAAATGAAAGAAAAAAAAAGAGCATGCACATTGAAAATCGAAAGTTCAAGCTAGGAAAAATCAAAAACGTTATTAAAATATGACAAATTGCAACCAGGGAAGGCGAATGTAAGCAATCTTAATGGGAGTTTGGAACTTGATAGTGTTTTTAATAATCGTATTTCAACTCCCCTCTGTTTCCTCCCAAAATTAAACCTGTCTTACTGTTATTAAATTCAGTTTTTTTATTGTAGTTAATCAGACTTTTAGGGCGCTTTTGTTTTGTCCTCACTTAAATATTAGTTTGGGATCCACAGCAAAAATACTTTTTGTTCTAAAAGGAAAAAAAATTCTAAAAATACTGATTA